AGACAAGAGGTTTGACGATCTCCAAAGTCAACTCGACGCCTTGAAGCTCCAGAAGCATCCGAACAAGCTGGGGGTTGTCAGACCGTATCCAATTGAATGGGATGCGGTCTCCTACCCGGCAAAGTTCGAGCCGTTGGACCTCCTACAGTTCAATGGCAAGGGTTCTCCTACCCAGCACGTTTACTACTTCCAGACGCAAACTGGACACATAGTGGGAAACGATCCCATTATGACTTGACTGTTCATTGGTACCCTCAAGAGGGTCGCTTTTGAATGGTTTCGCAGATTGGAGCCTGGGTCCATCACCTGCTGGAAGGATATGGAAAGGCTCTTCGTAGCCAGATTCTTCGACGATGACATAGAAGTATCTATGGCCACCCTGCTAGCTGTGAAGCAGAGAAAGACAGAGTCTGTAAGCAACTTTGTCAAGAGATTCAGAAACCGGTCGCTGCATTCCCGCGATCGAGTTTCCGAGGCCACACTCATCGAGATGTGCCGGAACAATCTCTCCATCAGCGTTCTGTCCAATATGGGCGCTGTTGAAGCTCGCTCATGAAAAGACTTACTCCACCAAGGAGAACAAGTCGAGAGCATGCTCAAGCATATGGGTGACGAAGACCCACATGAATTTCGAGGAGATGATGACCAAGATGCCTTGGTAGTGGAGACCATTTCCTCATATCCTATGATTTCCCCCGTTGATCCTCTTCAATAGGACGGTGGGCCCACAAAACTATCAAGTTAACTGTTACCTCTGGTAGTCATTTCTCCATCAGTCTCATTTAACTGGACGATGGATCTTTTAAAACTATCAAGTTAACTATTACCTCTGCTAGTCTCCTCCAAATTTCCCCCGTTAGTCCTCTTCAATAGGACGGTGGGCCCACAAAGCTATCACGTTAACAATCACCTCTGATAGTCCCCTTACACTCCGACAAGTACACGAGTATAAACTGCTTCTTCTGATCCTCCAACTGGTATAAGAGGTTAAACTATTCCCTATACTTCCACTTCTTGAGCCAGGTTCCCAGTTATGGCGAACCGCTCAAATCAGGCGAGCCTAACAGTTTAGACGAGCTCCACTTCTTGAGCCAAGTTCCCAGTACAGGCGAACCGCTCAAATCAGGTGAGCCTAACAGTTTAGGCGAGCTCCGCTTCTTGAGCCAGGTTCCCAGTACGGGCAAACCACTCAAATCAGGCGAGCCTAACAGTTTAGGCGAGCTCCACTTCTTGAGCCAGGTTCCCGATTATGGCGAACCGCTCAAAACAGGCGAGACTAGCAGTTCAGCTGGGCTGCATCAAACTCCCACTTGGTCAAACCTTCAGATAGTTAGGACCAAAGCCACAATCCCCCGCCAATCCTCCTCAATAGGATGGCGGGACCCCCACTGTCATGTTAACGGTCACCTCTGACAAATCAACTTACCAGTCCTCTTCAATAGGATGGTAAGTCCACAGAGTTGCTCAAATCGCAATAAACTCCCACTGTCATGTTAACACTACACCTCTGACAAAATCAACTTACCAATCCTCTTTAAAAGGATGGTAGGTCCTCAAAGTCATTCCGATCACGACAATCCCTGTCATGTTAACATCACACCTCTGACCAGAATCTACTTACCGACACTCTTTAATGGAGCGGTAGGTCCACAAAGTCGCTTCGATCGCTGCAGTTCCTATCACGTTAACGATTACCTCTGATAGCCGACACCGTCATTCCCGCAAATGACGTTGTCCGATCAGTCGTCATACTCATACGTCCCTGAACGATTTGATTCTCCTAGCACCGTCTTTCCCATAAAAGGCGTTGTTGTTTGATAGTGGCCTACTATGCGATGTGCTGCTATTTCAGGGTTCGTCTTTGCCCCAAGAGAAGACAAATCAGGGTTCGTCTTCATCTTTGCCCTAAGAGAAGATAAGCTTCCCCCTTTGACTCCAACGGGTATACGAGCATAAACTGTTCCCTTTACTCCAACTGGTGCATGAGTCTAAACTGCCCCCTTATACTCCGACTGGTGCATGAGTCTAAACTGCCCCCTTATACTCCCACTGGTGCAAGAGTATAAACTGCTCCTTTCCTCCAACCAGTGCACGAAGCTAAACTGCTCCTTCACTCCAACTGGTGCATGAGTCTAAACTGCTCCTACCCTCCGACTGGTATACGACTGGTATACGAGGTTAAACTGCTTAATCCAAACGCCTCGAAAGGCTAAGGATAGAGGAGAAATTTTAGCATTGAGCCTAAGAGAAACTCCTCGACAACTTACCATGCTAAGGGCAAGAGCATAGCTAGTCCAACTCAAACGGCAGTTGGTAAAGACGAATCAAGTCCGTTGATAGCTGAGGTTTTGCTTAAAATCCTAGAAGGCGATCATCAGCTGCGAGTGAAGAGATCAACTTCACCGAGCTCGTTGGAGGGCTCCTCACTCCATCTGAGCATGGATCACTTTACAGGTCTTCATATCCAAAGTGTTCCAGACCCCATGCGGCCTGATTCAGGTCTGAAAACTTTGGAGGGGGTTTTGTAGGCAATAAAAATTGCCTTTAATCCTTATCAGAGAAGTTCAGAACAAAACTGCTAAAACCTCACCCGAAATAGCGAAAAACACTGATAAAAAGGGGAAAACGCAGATATCTCCCAAACCGTAAGGAATTTGGCAAAATGGAGGAAGCAAACCGAAGCCTTAGGATAGGTTCGGATGGCTCCGTCTCGTCGAGATAGGCGATTTTCATATATAATTCGTTCAATTCCGACTTACGGTTTGAAAGTTACGGCCTATTCTTCGATCCATGCTCAGGAGCTCGCCTGCAGCTCGAATTTCGCCTGCACGATCAAGACCCAAGTCTGCCTGCACACCTGAGCTCGCCTACAGACCCATTTCACCTGCAAGCTCGTCTGCAGACCCAAGTTTGCCTGCAGACCCAAGTCTGCCTGCAGTCCCAAATCCGCCTGCAGACCCAAGTCTGCCTGCGCACCTGAGCTCGCCTGCAAACCCAGTTCGCCTGCTAGCTCGCCTGCAGACCCAAGTCCGCCTGCAGTCCCAAACTCACCTGCAGACCCAGTTCGCCTGCAAGCTCGCCTGCAGACCCAAGCTGCAGACTCGCCAGCTCACTGTCAACTGCCCACTTGGAGTATGGGAACAGTTACATCAGTGGTCAAATCCCACAAATCAAGGGAGAGGGCACAATTAAAACCCATCTTCAAGCCAGCATGAAAAGGGGATTGGCTGTTGCATATTCTGCTGGCTAATCTCCCAAAGGTTGAACCTGGACTTTTGCCAAAAGGCTCCCTCATTTGAGAATTGAAGCTCTGGCAGCAACTTCGATCGGATCGTCCAAGGAAAGCAGACTCGGCACGAGCACCGAGCGAGGCGTCCTATCGCCACCGAGGAACCCACGTTAAACAAGGAGGGCATTCCCTCCGTTTCTGTTTTAAACATTTGATTATTAGTTTGTAATAAGCTGTTCTTATCAATACAAACGAAGTTCCCTATTTTCGGGAGATCAAAATTTACACCTACAGGGATGATCCATAATAAGTTCATATTTTGGTAACAGATCAAAATTAGGTTCTTGTGATGATCCATAATGGGTTTAACTTCAAGAATTTATTATTTTTTAAATCTATTTTTGCCCTAGCCACCGACTGGCAAAGGGCAGCCAAACCCGCTGGCACGGTGGTGCTCCGCCGCCACCGTCCGACCAAAGGTGGTGGCGGCTGGCTCAAACCCTATCAAAACCCCTAGACACAAGCCCTAGTTTATGGGTTGAAGATGTGAAGTTTTGGGTTAGAAGTCTATTAGGTTTTGAACCCAAACTTATTAATAATGGATTCCAAGTCCTATTATGAAGAGGATATGTTGTATCGGGTTTGACCCGAACCTACTGCAGACCCGACCCAAGTTCAAATTTGAATTGAACTTAATTTTGTAAAGATGTCTGACTGCGAATAGAACCCGAACCAGAACCCTGTTAGATTTAAATTTTATTGTAAAATTAATCTTAGACCCCTGATCGATCCAGAAACTATTCCAAAGTCCATTAGGTTCACATATACACTATAAAATTAGTTATAGCTCCATGATAAACCCAGAAATTATTCTGAAGTCCACCATTATTGATAAATTGTTGTAAAATTAGTTACATGCTACTGTTTGATCCACAAATTGCTCTAGACTCCAACAATTTATTAAATTTATTGTTAAATTAGCTTCAACCCCCTGATTGATTTTGAAACGGTTTTAAGGTCCATCTGAATATATAGACTAATTTATGATTAGTCCCTAATAGTTGTAGAAGTTGTTCTGAAGTCCATATATATGTATAGTTTAGTTTCTTTTATTGAAAAGATTATCCAATTCTTATTGAATTGCTAGAATTGATATTGTATCATGTATATTCCTAAAATATTATTTGAATTATAAAGAGGTTTCATTCGAAGAACCATTCTCTACAGAATCAATCAGGAGACTAATATTCATCTGTTTTTTTACAGAGGTTTCATTCGAAGAGCCATTCTCTACAGAATTGACAATCCCGTAGAGTTTTTCATCACGAAGAAATTCTACGGGATTGCTAATCCCATAGAGTAGCCAGACAAACTCCAATGGATTGCTTAGAGATTAAGTGACAATTAAACTGTAACGGATTGCCAATCCTGTACAGCTTAATTATCACTTAACTTCTACAGGATTCCTAATCTCATGGACTTCGAAAACTTTTTTTTTCTTCTTCTTAAATCGGCTAAGTTTCAACGCGCATTGCTGACGTGGTTGAAACTTGATCGATTTTGATAAATAAATTTGAAGTGGATCGATTTTTGATAATTGAATTCATGAGATGTTCCAATTCAAAAAGTTCTCCTACCTGAAAACCGCGAGTGAAAAAGTTCTGATCACCTCGGACGAATCCCGGAGACCGCAGAACTGAATCCGCAACTAGCAAAGCATCTGAAGTGGGGTTCGGCCCATTAAGAAATCCGGCCCATACGGTANCTCCGATCTCGAATCCCCTCAGACCCCAAAACCAGGGCTTCGCTCGCTCCCTCTGGAGAAATCCAGCGGCCATGGAGGAACCGAAGCACAGATCGAGCAGAGAAGATGTCGAGAGGAAGGAAGATTCTCGAAGGGACCGGGATCGAGATCGGGATCGGGAGAAAGAGCGGCATCGAGAGAAGGATAAGGATAAGCACAGGGATCGCGAGTCGTCCGAGAAGATCGCCGGGGATCGCGAGTCTCGGCGCTCGGAGAGGGAGAGAAGCGTCGATGAGAAGTTCAGGGATAAGCACAGGCAAAAGGACAGGGATAGAGATAGAGAATCAAGGCATAAGGAGAGGGAGAGGGATAGAGAGAGGGAGAGGGAGAAGGAGAAGAGGGCAAGAGAACGCGAGAATGAGAGAGAAAGGGAGAGGGAGAGGGAGAGGGAGAAGGAGAGGGTGAGGGAGAGGGAGAGGGAGGAGAGGGAAAGGGAGAAGGAGAGGGAAAGGGAGAGGGAGAGGGAGAGAGAAAGAGAGAGGGAGAGGGAGAGAGAAAGAGAGAGGGAGAGGGAGAGGAGGAAGAGAGAGGAGAGAGAAAGGGAGCGGGAAAGAGAGCGGGAAAGAGAGCGAGAGGATCGAGAGAGGGCGAGGGAGAAGCGGAGGGAATTGGAACGAGATGATGACAGAGATCTTGAAGATAGCAGAGAGCATGATCGAAAGAGGCGAAGGAGAGGGGATTCTCGAGATCGGGATCGAGAGCGAGAACGGAGCAGCCGACATCGAGAAGGCAGTGAAGATAGAAGGAAGAGGGCAGAGGAGGAGCCGGAGGAGAGGAAGAAGACCCGAGAAGAGGATCTTGAAGAGGAGCAGAGGAAGCTTGACGAGGAGATGGAGAAGAGGAGGAGGAGGGTTCAAGAGTGGCAGGAGAAGAGGAAGAAGGAGCAGCAGGAGAGGGAGAAAACGGGCGAGGCTAATGGTGAGGAACAACCAACTGCTGGTAAGAACTGGACTTTGGAAGGGGAGTCAGATGATGAAGAAACCAAAGAAATGGCCGTGGATGATGAGGCGAAGCCTAATGGAGAAGAAGATGGTGCTATGGCAGTTGATAATGGTGAGGGTGTGGCTAATGGTGATGCTAATGGGGAGGAGGAAATTGATCCGCTTGATGCTTATATGAACTTGGAGGTACTGCCGGAAGTAGAGAAGCTGGCTAACACTGAGACAGTTGTAATGGATGTAGATAAGTCCAAACTGGGAAAGACAGCAGCTGAAGGTGGGATAAGTAATGGGAATCAATCAAAGAATGGTGGAAAGAATACAATGGGGAGGATTATTCAGGGTGAAGATTCAGAATCTGATTATGAGGAGCCTGAGAACGATGAGGCCCCATTGGAAGAGGAAGATGATGATGAGTTCATTAAAAGGGTGAAGAAGACCAAGGCTGAGAAACTATCAATTGTTGACCACTCAAAGATTCAGTACCCACCATTTAGGAAGAATTTCTATATTGAGGTGAAGGAGATAGCAAAGATGAGTGCCGATGAGGTTGCAGCTTATAGGAAACAGCTTGAGCTGAAGTTACATGGAAAAGATGTGCCTAAACCCATCAAAACATGGAACCAAACAGGACTAACAAGCAAAATCTTGGATACGATCAAGAAGCATAATTTTGAGAAGCCAATGTCCATTCAAGCTCAGGCGCTGCCCATAATTATGAGCGGTCGAGACTGCATTGGAATTGCAAAGACTGGTTCGGGTAAAACACTAGCTTTCGTATTACCAATGTTGAGACATATTAAAGACCAACCTCCTGTTGTGCCTGGTGACGGCCCCATTGCACTTGTTATGGCTCCAACTCGAGAGCTTGTCCAACAAATTCACAGCGACATTAGGAAATTCTCCAAGGCCCTGGGTATAAACTGTGTGCCAGTTTATGGAGGCTCTGGTGTAGCTCAGCAAATTAGCGATTTAAAGCGAGGTACTGAAATTGTAGTGTGCACTCCTGGTAGAATGATTGATATTCTTTGCACTAGTGGTGGTAAAATTACTAATCTTCGTAGGGTTACCTATTTGGTTATGGATGAAGCTGATCGAATGTTTGATATGGGGTTTGAACCCCAGATTACTAGAATAGTTCAAAACACACGACCAGATCGTCAGACAGTGCTATTTTCAGCTACTTTTCCTCGTCAGGTCGAAATACTAGCGAGAAAGGTCTTGAACAAGCCTGTTGAAATCCAGGTTGGAGGAAGGAGTGTCGTAAACAAGGATATTGCTCAGCTAGTTGAGGTCAGACAAGAAAGTGAAAGGTTCCTAAGGCTCCTAGAGTTATTAGGGGAGTGGTATGAGAAGGGAAAAATCCTTATCTTTGTTCATTCACAAGACAGATGTGATTCATTGTTCAAGGACTTGATTAGGCATGGTTATCCTTGCCTCTCACTTCACGGGGCCAAGGACCAGACAGATCGAGAATCCACCATTTCCGATTTCAAGAGCAATGTTTGTAACCTTTTAATAGCTACTAGTGTTGCTGCCCGAGGTTTAGATGTGAAGGAGCTTGAGTTGGTGGTAAACTTTGATGCTCCTAATCACTACGAAGACTATGTTCATCGTGTGGGCCGAACTGGTCGAGCAGGCCGAAAGGGTTGTGCAATCACGTTCATTTCAGAGGAAGATGAGAGATATGCACCGGACCTTGTAAAGGCTCTCGAACTCTCTGAACAAGCTGTGCCGGAAGATCTAAAGGCACTTGCTGAGGGGTTCATGGCCAAGGTGAACCAGGGAACAGAACAAGCCCATGGCACTGGTTATGGTGGAAGCGGGTTCAAATTTAATGAGGCAGAAGAAGAAGCTAGAAAAGCTGCAAAGAAAGTGCAGGCAAGGGAATATGGGTTTGAGGAAGATAAGTCGGATTCAGATTCTGATGACGATGGAGTTCGAAAGGCTGGAGGTGATCTATCTCAGGCTGCTGCACTTGCTCAAGCTGCTGCCTTGGCTGCAGCAACAAGGGCTGCTAATCCTGCAGTGCCTGCCCCCGGGGTTGCTGGTCAGTTGCTGAATACGCCTGGTCTTGCTATACCAAATGCAACGGCACTTCCTTCAGTGGCTGCTCTTGCGAATGAGGCAACAGCTCGGGCAACTGCATTAGCAGCTGCTATGCATTTACAACAAACATTGGGAAAGATTCAGGCCAATGCCATGCCTGAACATTATGAAGCAGAGTTGGAGATCAATGATTTCCCACAGAATGCTCGATGGAAGGTTACACATAAGGAGACTTTGGGTCCAATTTCAGAGTGGACTGGGGCAGCAATTACTACAAGGGGTCAATTCTTTCCTGCAGGTAAGATTCCTGCCCAAGGAGAGCGCAAGCTGTACTTGTTCATAGAAGGTCCAACTGAATCTTCTGTTAAGAAAGCTAAAGCTGAAGTGAAGCGGGTTCTGGAGGATCTCTCAACCCAGATTGTATCTCAATCTGGTACCGGCCAACCAGGCAAGTACTCTGTCATTTGAGGGTTATGGTCGCTCATGGCGTGAATGGAATTCACTTAATGGAAATTCTTTTCCTTCCTCTTTTTGTCAAATATTTCATATTGACGGCTTTTCTTTCTGCCTAGAGACGTAAATGGGGCTGCTATTCGTTTGTACTTCTTTTAAACATCTTCTGATACTATTCAAGGACACTAGTTTTGCATATCTGGGACGCCATTTTCTAGTAAAACTTAAGAGTGTTACTTGGTTGTTGGCATAAATTTTCTCCCCTAGTTTCTTTGCCTAAGTTTTCGAATTCGTTATGAAAATGGTAATTTATTGTAATGGCTTTATATGAGCTTCCACTGTGTTATTATTAGTAGTTTCTTTGGAGCATGTTTGGCAACCTACTTATTTTAAATTATATGTATGCTTTTAGTTATAAGGATTCAAGATTATATTTGGTAAAGTTTGCTTATTTACTTTAAAATATTAAATAGTGATGGCTTTTCTTTCTGTCTAGAGTCGTAAATGGTGCTGCTAGTCATTTTGTAGTTCTTTCAAACATCTTCTGATGCTATTCAAGGACACTAGTTTTGCATATCTGGGACACCTTTTTTAAGCAAAAATTAGGAGTGTTACTTGGTTGTTGGCATAAATTTTCTCCACTAGTTTCTTTGCCCAAGTTTCAGAATTCGCTATGAAAATGGTAATTTTATTGTAATGGCTTTATATGAGTTTCCACTATGTTATTATTAGTAGTTTCTTTGGAGAATGTTCGGCAACCTACTTATTTTAACTTATAAGTATGCTTTTAGCTATGGGGATTCAAGATTATGCTTGGTAAAGTTTGCTTATTTACCTTCAAAGACTTAATATTGATGGCTCTTTTTCTGTCTAGAGATGTAAATGGTGCTGCTATTCATTTTGTACTTCTTTCAAACATCTTCTGATACTATTCAAGGACACTAGTTTTGCATAGCTGGGACTTCTGTTTCTAGTAAAAATTAAGAGTGTTACTTGGTGTTCGCATAAATTTTCTCCCCTAGTTTCTTTGCCCAAGTTTCAGAATTTGCTATGAAAATGGTAAATTTATTGTAATGGCTTTATATGAGTTTCCACTATGTTATTGTTAGTAGTGTCTTTGGAGCATGTTTGGCAACCTACTTATTTTGACTTATAAGTATGCTTTTAGTTATAAGGATCCAAGATTATGTTCGGTAAAGTTTGCTTATCTACTTATTTTAACTTATAAATAGGAAAAGAATAATTTAGGATTTCCAACTTATTTCTTGGCATTTATAATGAGATGTAGAGTTTTGCAATTTTGCAGCTGGATTAGATGAATTATGACCATAAGATTAAGATATAGGCCTCTTTATGTATGTTCGTCATGATCTGTCAAAACTTTGCATTCACTTTATGTAAGTCAACATAATATAATCTGAGGGTTTTTATACGGAGTATGAATGCGTTTTTAGGTTTCTGAGTAAGCATCAATTAGTGGAGGATTTAAAGCAATGCGATTGGACTTCCTAGAAAAGGAATTATGCATGAGAAGAGTGGGGGTATAAGAGTCTTATTGTGGACTTCGACAGGATTGGGAAGATGGCGAAGTTTGTTCGTTGCTATAATTTCATGTGTAGGTGCTGCAGTTTGGGTTTTGTGTGTGGGTTATGTTTGATGATTTCCCATACTATCCAGTCGCTGATTTCTGCCTTCCTCCTTAGTCCTTGGATTTAGAGTTCATCATGTCATGCCTGTGTCAGTATGGTCATATGTGGTTCAGAAAGATATATACTGTTGATATAGTTTCATAGTGGTCCTTGAAATAATTTGGCGTTTGAAATACATGTGGGCGACTAGATATGCTCCATACATTTGGCATCTTATATCATTCAGATTTGTAGCCATAGCCCCTTTAATACTAGTACGGTGGCTTTCAACTTAAATCATTTCAGGTTCAACCAATCTGTAGTTGATGTTGAGGATATGGATTTCACCATGGGATTTGAAATTCATAGGTGTTTTGATATGGGTTGGGATTCCTAAAACTTTGTTTGTTTCAACAATATTTTGGGATTTGGAATACTATAATTTGTAATATTTTGTTTGTTTCAAACTCAAATTGTAGCATTACAAATTTTGGAATTTAAAATCCATTGTTGTAGCAAACAAGTTTTAGGATTACCAAGAGTTGTAACTCAAGCTTATAAGGTAATGCCATCTCAACCTAACGTTGTTAATTGTGCAATACACTCATTGTGTTAATATTTAAGTAAAATAGTCAGAGGGGCTAACACAAAAAATCAGTGTTGATTCTAGGATCACCTGAATGCCTAGGCGTTCTTTAACAAATTGAGCCACCTGAGCATATCCAAATTCAGAGCCACCAAACCACTGGCTTCCGCGCTTCCCAAATAGCATGTCAGGCTTCACCAATTTCATGGAAGAAAGCCATTGTTCATTGTCCACTAATTCAGTGAAATCAGTTGTTTGTGTAACCGGAAATTTTAAAATATTAACATCACAATTCAAGATTGTCCACTAATTTAAGAAAAGTATACAACTACTTTTTCTCTTTTTTAGCTTAAACCTAAACCTGATGACGAATTAAACTAAAGAACATAGATCATGCTAAGTGAACATCGATCAAGACAACAAAACATACCATTTATCTGTAATTTTGCTCGATCGATCGCAGTAAATTCTCACTAAATCTGAAGGAAGAAAGCATTTAAAATGAAAATTAGAGGAGGAAAAAAATGACCTGAGCGGATCGGATCTGGAGATCAATACCGGCGATCCGCTTGAGGTGCTCCCTGATGAGTCGCTTCGAGTCGTACTCTCGGATCTTCTTCCTCGCCATCGCAACGGGTTCGGATTCGGATGAGGATCTCGACTGCTTGATCCAATAAGAGAGTGGGCTTGAAGGGGAGGAGGGGACATATAAGTAGCAGTAGTTGGAGTGGGGATCTGCACGAGGACCCCCTACCTACTGCTCTGTGGATTAAGGTGAGTCGTGATGATCAGAGGAGGAGGAGGAGGAGAGGAAACAGAGGCAGAGGAGGAAATCAAGGGTTTGGTCAGGGGAGGAGAAGGTTCCGTTTTGGGGGAGGAGGGATTGGATGGAGATGGAGTCGGATCTGGTGGGGGTGTAATGGGTTTGGGAGAGAAGGAAGCGGATTTCAGCGGGAACTGGAAGCGGCGGGTAAAAAAAGAGGAGGGAGAAAGTGTGAGGAGGCGGTGATAATATCGCCTCTTTCCGAAACCTGAACATGGGTGAGTGGAAACTGACGTGGAGTGGGGTGTCAGATATCCCACCCCAAATCCCCTCTATTTTATAGGATGTTGCAAATCCTAAAAATGAGTACCTTTTTACAATTTTAGAATTTCATATGCCAAATTTTTTTGGAAACAAACATGAACTATGGAATTCCAACAAGCTCAAAATGTCACTTTTTGATCCTAGAATTTGAAATCCCACCTAAATGCCAAAATTTTTGTGAAACAAACACCCCCTAAGCTAATCTTCTCTCAACGGAAAAGTGTTTTAGTGTGCATAGAAGGAAACAGAGTTGTTAGTGCTATCCCCAAAGCCAGATCATGTTGCGTAGTAGCTTGGAAAGAGGTTGGAACGTGGCAGACCGGTGAGCAAAGCAAGATGGTTATTGGGTTCTCTGACCTAGAGCACTCTCCTTCACTTGTATGAAGAAACTCCTATAAAACATAGCTACCGCTCTAATGAGACGGCTAACCCCCGGACTTGCAGTACATTATTGCAAGTCAACCAAAGGACTCGTCAGTTTCGACACAACTTCTTGGTTCTAAAACTGTCTGTTGGTATATAAATTTTGAATGATGTTGCATGCAAAACTTTTTAGTCCTTTGACTAAAGAACTCAGGGGGCTAATCTTATTAGTATTTTTTTAGGAATTACCTCAACCTCATTCTTTGTTTCTTCCTTATGCATTTTCAATTCCTTCTGCTTATAGCATGGTGTTTCCTAATTTGAACATGTTTTTTTTTCTTTTTCTTTTTTCCTTCCTGCATGTGTGCGACTAGAATATGCAATGTGTTTATTTGTTGAACTATGGATGGCAATCTGAAGTTACGAATTTCAGTTATGCCTGTGGTTCTTTTCTTTTGAATGCTCATGTTTTAATTATGAATTTTTTTATCTTTATTAGATGAGTCTTCTTTTGATTTTGTTTTCTGTTCTTTTTTCCTTTTGGCACGAGCGACGTTATTTGCTTCCACATGTCAAAGCTATAGCGCTTTTCTCAAGGTGGCGGTGGCTGCAGCTGAGGTGAGTCTCTTTCTCCCAGTGCATACAAGTGCATATCATCTCTCTTCTAGTGAGGTTTATGAGTCATATGAATGCACCTCATCTCTCTTCTAGTGAGGTTTATATGAGTCTTGATATTCCAAGAGCTGGAAGTTTTAGTTAGTTGCGGCCAATTCTGATTAGCTTTTGCACTTGAACTTTGTTTTTTTTTTTTGCAATAAATGTCTGGTGGTTTATGTTATACCTCCCATTTGACATTTTGAAGTGATATTTCTTCTTCAGGATTTGTCTCTCTTTCTCAGATCTCGTGGGTCCCACGGGAGGTATGCTAAAACTACCTGTGGAAAATCAAAAGCCTTTGTCTTTCTCCTTTGTTTTCGCACAAATTTCATTTGAAGTCTTTAATATATATATATTTTTTCCTCTTGGAGATGTTCAAAAGTTGTTCTTATAGGGCTTGTGCATTGCACTTCTGGTCCACAAAAATCACGAAGGGAAACGATAAGAAGAAACCACCTTTCCTGCAATTTTATTTACAGTTTGATTCTGTGTTAGTTTCTCAGTTCAGTTTTTTTTATACCATACATTTTATCTCACAATCGTTTTTGTGGCATAGCATCTTATGCAGCTGTTTTCTTTGACGAAAAGAAGATCATGTTATTGCTTGGTGTGGTGGATAATCAAGGAAACCTTTAGACCAAGAGTCCAACTCTGGGTGTTAAGTGTATTTTACGATTGTATTGTGGGTTTTGGTCTTTCGTTTTTCCTTCTTTAGTAACATCATAGAGATTCTGACATGAGCTTTCTCAGATTTTGTTTGTTTATTGTTTCTCGAAGCATAATTGGTGTGCGTAAACTTGAATTTAAAACGTCTCGCTTTTACTTAGCAAAAAAGGATATGGCACGTACTGGTTTATGACAGGAGCGCATTACATAGCTGAAAAGTATTTATGCTGCCATGCAAGTATTTATATTAGATCCAAAACAATGATAAGGGAACATAAGAGGACAAGGGAACTTGCCTTTCTCCAATTTGCGTTGGGTTCCAAAAAAAATGATTAGGTTTTTGTGGCGCCATCTTTTTCTTTTGATTTTAGATATTATGGGAAATTACCAACTGAGTTACTGTACCATATGTTCTCTGGATAAAGTGGGGTGATGGTTCTTATGGTTGCGGAATTTAAAGTATTTCGTTGTATGCTTTCCTTATGCGAAGGAGTATCTAGAACTCCCACATGAAAGCAGATGCCAAAAGTTTGTCATTAGAATAACTATTGAGGGTGTTGCATTTGTTAATTTTGGCGAGAATATTGAACATCCAATTTTATGGGTACTTATGTTTAGGGAATTCCTCGACTGTTCTGTTAAGCGTGTGCGTCTGCTGTGTGTAATTTCAAGTGCCTGCTGCTTCTACAGCGTGTGTTTGATGGATGATCGATATATCTTCCATTTCATTAATTTCCTGCTTTCGTAGGCTCTTTAGTCGATGTTAAACAAGTTATTTACATGAGATGCCAGAAAAAAGAATTGCTGGCTATATGCGTGTCAATCCAGAGTTCCTCTTTTACCAACTGTAAATTTTGGTATTAGTCGTGCAACTTCATCATTTATTTCGGATGGGTATTCTTCCTCTTGTTTTGCTAGTCTGCTCTTGTTTTCCCGCCCTCTTGCTGGCAGCGTGGGGGGTGTGTCTTCGCCCAGCGGGGGGTGTCTTTGTTAGTGTGCGTGGCGAATTACGCCAAGGCTATTTTTTTTCACCAGCATTGTGTTTTTAGTATACCCAGCTGGTTCCTTTTGATCAAAGCTTTTGTTTTGTAGCGAAGTTCTTGTTCAGAATGTGAGAAATTGATGAATGGATGCCGTCTTCCAACCTTTGTGGGCATAAGAATAAAAGCTATCTGCAAAAATTGGAAGTTCCTTCGTTTTTCTGAGGCGTCTTGTTTATAGGAAGCCTCCGTTTAGGTAGTTTTTGTTGTGGGTCTTTTGAGTTCACGCACTGTTCTTTTTCCGTCAGATTCACAATGATGGTTCCATCTTCTAGCGTGTTGTGCAGCTTGTTTCATTGAGGAGAAGATTAAATAGTTGCTCAGGAGTATGATCCTTTTTTTTTCCTACTTACTTTCCCTTTATTTTATGTTATATGTTTTTAAGGTGGAATGCGTCTATCTATTTAGTGCCTCGTTGGGCTTTAGCCCTAGGGGGCTTAGGGGCACGGAGAGCTTGAGATGAGATTGAGAGGCTTTGGGTAGAATGCAGGAGAGGCTATATGGGTATGTGGGGGGTTTGAGATAGCGTTTTCTTTCCTATCGTTCTGTCTCATGTATATAGTGGATGTCTCGTATTGTTAACCCGTGTATTGTTCTCCGTCGTATATAGCGGTCTATCTTGTTTTTAGATCAGTAGGCGTAACGATTTATCTTGTTTTTAGATCAGTAGGCGGATGGGAAGGAGATGAGCCCTTTTTTCCTTCCCTGCAATGAATGAGCCGTTCTGATTTAGATGGATAAAGATGGGTGTTGTGTATGCTTGTGTGGCGGATAAGGTGCTATACTTTGCCTATAAGCTGCTATATTATCCCATAAGGTGCTATACTTTACCAAAAGCTAGAAAATTGAGCGAGGACCCCTCGACGAGGTGGATAATTGGTCACGCGACATGTAACGTAGGTCATCGAATGTTTGCATTGTCCTAAAAAAACTGATTTGGTTTATCACAATAAGTTGCTGAATTTCCAGCGACTATAAGGTGCTATACTTTATCGATAATGTGCTATACTATTGTCATAAGGTGCTACACTTTGTCATAAGGTGCTATACTTCATCAATAAGCTGCTATACTTTCCCATAAAGTTCTAAACTTTATCAAAAGCTAAAAAATTAAGTGAGTACCCCTCGTCGAGGTGGATAATTGGTCACGCGACACATAATATTTTTCAATAGGCTGTAGTTACCACAACCTACCATCAAAACTTCTTCAGTTCAATCAGTGCATCAGTTTATTACAGATATTCATATTTGTCAACCACTAAACTCAAGCACATAACATTGAATGAAAATAATCCATGAAGATTGAATGGAAATAATCCAAAATCACCACTATTGAAACGTTGTATACATTTCTACTAGATACATTTCTACTAGATACACTGATAAATTTGATACAACATGATACATTGGATAGTGCATTTGATACAATATACACACAAATCATCTATATATACATAATATAGAAAATTTCATACAACACGATACATTGGATACTACTTGGTACATCATATTGCAGGCTGTAGTTGATTTACCGTTTGGGTTGCAATGTGACAGTAATGCGAAGATCCGATCGAATGCCAAGAGTGGAGGATTCTCTCATGTATTTGATTAGAAAGTTAGTGTGCATTGACGAATGGTTTCTGAGGGGTAGCTGTGCATTACGTTAGGTATTGGCGACAATAGAAAATGGTGAGGAGCAACCAGAGGGCGTAGGAAGGCATACCAATGAGCTAAGATCATGGCGGTCCACAAAACCAAACTCCTCTTGGACATTTCATCAAACACTTCTATTGCCTCCTCAACCAACAGCAATATAGCATAACCGCTAATCGTTGTGGTCCAAATAACTATATCCCTTTTGTCATTCCATCAAACACCTTCTATGCATCAACCTAGTCACCAAAACATAGATATATATGAGCAAAATTGTTATGCACATACCCTTTCCTGAAGCATAAGCTTGATAAGAATCCATCAGTTTATAAGAACAATACATCTTTAACAAGCTATTGTCAAAAAAAACCAAAATTTCAAAATGTTAACATACAGTATTGAAAAACCCAAAATTTCAAAATGTTAACAAGCTATTGATGTAGGATTAGTGTCTTTTTTTGAGCTGTCCACTACAGTGTGTCTTCAACCATTAGATAACCACAAATCTACTCTCACACTTTGACGAAGTCTATCAAAAGTCAATAAACAAACATAATAACGTATAGTTCATGAATTCATAATTTCTCAACTTCGTCAAAAACTCCATACAAATTAAAAAGAACAAGAGGTTTTGAGCTGGAGAGTACCTTGGGCTCAAATCTAATGAAGACCCACATAAGGAAATAGAATATTAATGGAGGAGAGAGATTTCTCAAGAAGAGAGGGAAAACTAATGGAGGAGAGAGAAAGAGAGTGTAATTGAAGATGAGTAGCAAATTAGGGGTTGGTGAAGTGCGAGAGCAGCCCGTCATTTTCTCCGGCCATCGTCGCCATTGCTGCCGTTAGCGATGATCAGAAGAAGAGAGAAAGGGCAATATTGGGTTTTTTAAATTTAGGAAAAATACAATATAAAGATAGAGAGGTATAATAAACATTGGGTTTAAAACTAAGTCATATGGGTACAATGAGTTTATTAGGGTTTAGAAAAGTGGATGGGTTTTTAAATAAGTGGGGGTAAAACTTTGGGTTAAAAGAGGAATTTCCCTTGTTTTAAACATGGGGTGTCATGAACCATTTACATTTTAGCTCGCAACTTTGTTCATCGTATTCATTCATGTTCATGGTGATCACGGTGGGAGCAAGTTTTATACTGCTTACTTGGTTAAGTCGATGAATTTTATCTGCTGGTTTCTGATCCAAAAATATATATTAGAGGGTTCACGATGGTCCAGCGTCGCTCGTGATTTTAATGTTATTTTATTGTTCTTGAAATACTATTAGTTTGGATGAGCACATTGTCAATCCCACTACCAGCCACAAAGCGTGCTGTCCATCACGCTCTGGACACATGCAACTGACGTTGCGTTAACAATTAGAAATAATAATTATTTATTATTATATTTTTTTTCATGAGAAAAATAATCGTTTTCTTTCCTTGGAGATCATGCCTTGTCTCATGAATGCTTCTAAGCAACGTCAAGAGATTCGGTTTCAAAAATAATAATAATAGAAAAATTCCTCAAGGACCCAAAATATGGGATCAATAGAGGGGACAAGTGAGGTGTCCCCCTTCTATTGGATAATGAGTTGGTTATCATTAATGATGGCCAACTCATTATCCAATAGGAGGGTGACACTTCACTTGTCCCCTTTATTGGTCCCATATTTTGGGTGCCTTTAGCAAAGCTTATTGTTGGCTCTTTTTTTAAAAGTTAAAACGTCTCCAGAATTATTTTCTTCAAATAAAACTTTTTAGATCAATCCTGGGTAAGATTCCCCAAGGTTTTGAAACTCGTGGAACTATTAAATAAATATAATTACTAGAGCGCGAATGTTAACGTAAAATTAAATGTTTTCAGAGATAGCAAGGGGGGTGAAACTTTTGGATCAGGACAAAGACCGCTTCTACCATTAGGGGCCCACGGCCCACAAAACGAACGATCCACTCACCGCGTCCCCATTCTACGCACTTCGTTCCTCCCTCAATCTCCTCAAGTCAACGACCGCACCGTCCTCACCGCCCCCCTAAAATCTCACCCGTATCGTTTCCTTAGACTCACCGGCGTAAGACCGTAAACTCAAAACCCCAGCGACGGAAAAGGAAAACCCATAAAAGAATTTATTACTCCCAAAATCGCTCTTAAGGAAGAACAATTCAACGAAAATAGTCATAAAAAGTCCCCCGCTTGTTTACATTCTGTTTCCTCGGCCTCTCTCGATCTCAAAGGTGACGCCTTTGAACTGTTTCCTTGTACTTTTCATTGTAGTTCCAAAGCTTAATCAGTGTTTCAACGAGTTTTTGGTTCATAATTTGTTTTCTCGTGATTATGGTTGCCTGAATTGAAGTTTGTGTTTTGGGTTGTTTAGATCTCTGTGATCTCCAACTGATCAATTTGAGGGTGAAATTGTTAGTTGCAAATTGAGTTTTGAGTTGAATCTGATGATTTAGTGGGCTATCGGCTATCCATTTCTAGAGAAAATTGGAATTATGAAATTGATACGTTAGTGTTTTTTCTGAATTGCTTGTTATGCTGGGTTCTGAATACTCTGAATTATTTTTAATTTATTTTGTTGTGATCCTATTGTTATTATTGTAAAATTGAAATTAGCATGAAACATAATTGGGGTCTCCTATTGTCTAATGCTTGATTTTGAGGAAGCCTTCAATTTGGATTTATTAATAGATGACAGCGATGTTATTGTAATAACTCATACATATTCTCTTGGTTCACCAATGTCTGTTTGTAGTTTTCTTACATCTGCTGTTCTTCGAGAGACGTGGTAAACTGCAAACCTTTCAGTTTAGATTTTCTTTTCCCTTGAGTATTTACGGTAGGCCCATTCTTTTATTTCTTTTAATTCATAGTGTCATGTTATCATGAACATTAAGGAAGTTCCTCAAAATGATCTTTCAGAAGGTTAAATGGTAATTCGACAAAAAGGTGTTGGAATAGTAAAATCACTTGATTCAGGCAGGGCCGACTGAAGGCATAGGCCACTAAGACATATGCCTAGGGCCCCCATTTTATTGGGGCCCCAAAAAGATATACTCTCTCTCTCTCTCTCTCTATATATATATATATATATATATATATATATATATATGAGCAAGACTCCTATCAACTTAAGTTGATGTCCACCAAAGTTTGTAGCCACACATTTATTAATATAAAACACTTTTTAGCTTGCAATGCACGTGCAATTTTATAAAAACCGTCATTCATTATATATTTTTTAGCATGCCAATCCAAAAAAATGATACGTCAACTATAAAAACATATAAATTTTTTAATAAGGAAAAATATTTTTAAAAAATTTAATTTAATTTTATAAACACGAGAGGAGTTGAGGATTAGCCGTCAAAGATTTCAACTTATTATTAGGTGCTTTCATTACAACTATAATGAATTGTTTCATAAGTGGTGATTATAATTCATTACCTATAACCATTTAAATTCTCTAACGTCAACATTAAACAACCATCCATTAATCAATCCTATTAATCCATTAAGAGTTACCATTAAATCACCATTATAACTCCATTAGTTAGATACTAATCCCCCAACCTTTAGGCTTCTGTTATCAGTAACAACTCATCCTTCTTTCCTTTATATGTTCAGCCTAAAGACAAAGCCAACAACACTAACGTTAAAACCCCTAACCAAGATCTCTTAAAGGTCACCGACGCCCACATTAGAGATGCCATCAACCGATCAACCATCCTCTATGCCGCCACCGAGGAACGTCGTCTTCGATTATGCAGTCCGGGACCTCAAAGATGTCATCGACCATGTTTGAAACTATCAGCTCAATGACCAAGACAGAGCCGTGTACGACCTCAAGAACTAACTCAATAGTGCCAACACATGTCAAGAAACCTATGCAGGCAAGTTCAGTAATAAAATGGGTGACCTAAGATGCGCATTGAACCGGTCTATATCGTGTATTAGGTTGGATCGATGATGTTGGAATTTAAGCTTTCATCTATTGGGAGGAACGGTTGCAACATTAAGAGTAGGAGATTGATATCGAGATTCTTTATTGTAAAGAAAGTTGGAACAAATATATATACCATCTGGTATGCGTTGGATCTAACAATTCTCTGGTGCAAAGTGAGAAATCTGGTGATGGTGTTGTACTGTCGACGGTGGGTATTATTATATGAATTTGAAAGTTTTGATGTTATGAATTCAATATGTACTTTTTATTTTATGCGTTCTTATGTAGTTTATTTGTGCCCACAATCCTACTTTTTGTTTGATTGATTGATTACGTTGCTGCAGCAAAGAGTGATCGAGCGCTTCAACCGAGGAGGAGAGGTCTACATCAGCCTTCATCACCCGTTTCCCCTCCTTTCCTTAGTATTAGCCTTTAGCGTTAATACTAAGAAGAGCTAATACCTCGCCTTAACCGAGGTATACGCTTATAGCTTCTAGATCTCACGCGGATCGACGAAGTTCTGTCCGATATTTCTGGATCAGAAGTTTCTAGATCTCACGTGGATCGACGAAACTCTGTCCGATTTATCCGGACCAGATCTGATTGCCCGGTGGTCCACGGATATCAACCATCCCCGTCACAGGCCAAAGACCCACGCAAGCGAGACCGCACCAAAACGGGATCTCGTGTTTATTTTCGAAAAGTTGTAATCTTTGTTTTGTTGCACAAGGAGGTCTTATAAAAAGACCGACCTTTTTTATCGATTCTTGTTGTAACGTTTGAAGTTGTAACAGATTTCGAAAGCAATGAAAACAGCGACTTTCACCGAAAACAAGCTGGCGACCACAGTGGGAGCCAACGGCATCGCTACCGACGCCGTCGTGACGCAACCGGCATTCAAGATCCGGGTGAATGAAGAATACGAGCTCGATCGACAACAGTTCAAAGAAGGCCTCTCTTCCTCCTCCTCCAGATCCGCCTCTCCAAACGGGTACAGAAAGGTAACCTCTTTCATAAATGTTTGCAGGTCCTTCGGCTCAAAAATCCAAGACCCCGTTGCCATGAACATTAAAGAAGTTCCTCAAAGATGATCTTTCAGACGGTTAAATTGGTAATTCGACAAAAAGGTGTTGGAATAGTAAAATCATTGATTCAGGCAGGGCCGACTGAAGGCCATAGGCCCACTAAGACATATGCCTAGGGCCCCCATTTTTATTGGGCCCAAAAGATATACTCTCTCTCTCTCTCCTCTCCGTTATATATATATATATATATAGTATATATATATATATATGAGCAAGATCTATCAACTTAAGTGATGTCCACCAAAAGTTTCTAGCACTTTAGCATGCACATATATTAATATAAAACACCTTTTTATATAATACATGGGATCCGCTAGGCAATAATGAGTGGTTAAAAACTTTGGTGGACACTCACTATTTGCTATCCACTTAAGTTTGATAGGAGTTTCACTATATATATAATATATTATACTATATATATATATATATATATATATATATACTATTATATTATATTATATATATATATATATATATATATATATATATATTATATATATATATAATATATTTAATACTATTCTAAAAAGTGGTTTGGTCTATGTGTAAAATATTTCTCACGAAAATTACCGCTTATAAACACATACATACATACATAAAAATCATAAAACACATACATACTATATGCATGCATTCTTAATAATGTCATAACTCTCCTATGATTGTCCACTAATATTTAACTTCTATTTTTTGTTAACCCCTCTTACTAATCCAATATTTAATGTCATCAAAACCATTCATTATATATTTCTTAAATGTACTTAGAGCTTGCAATGCACGTCAATTTTATTAAAAACCGTCATTCATTATATATTTTTTAGTCATGCCAATCCAAAAAATTGATCGTCAACTATAAAAACATATAAATTTTTTAATAAATGGAAAAATATTTTTAAAAATTTTAATTTTAATTTTATAAACACTGGAGAAGGAGTGAGGCATTAGCCGCTTTAAAGATTTCATCAACTTATTATTATGCGTGTTTCATTACAACTGATAATGAATTGTTTCATAAGTGGTGATTATAATTCATTACCCTATAACCATTTAAATTCTCTAAACGTAACATTATAACAACCATTCCATTAATGCAATCCTATTAATCCATTAAGAGTTACATTAAATCATCATTATAACTCCATTAGTTAGATACTCAATCCCCAACCTTTAGGCTTCTGTTATCAGTAACAAACTCATCCTTCTTTCCTTATATGTTCATTCCTAAAGACAATAGCAACAACACTAACGTTAAAACCCCTATACCAAGATTTCTCTATAAGGTCACCGACGCCCACATTAAATGCCCATCAACGATCAACCATCTCTATGCGCCACCGATGGAACGTCGTCTTCGATTATTGCAGTCCGCGGATCAATAGATGTCATCGACCATGTTGAAACTATCCAGCTCAATGACCAAGACAAGCGTGTACCGACCTCAAGAAACTAACTCTCAATAGTGCCAACAACATGTCAAGAAACCTATGCAGGCAAGTTCAGTAATAAAATGGGTGACCTAAGATGCGCATTGAACCGGTCTATATCATGTTATTAGGTTGGATCGATGATGTTGGATTTAAGCTTTCATCTATTGGGAGGAACGGTTGCAACATTAAGAGTAGGAGATTGATATCGAGATTCTTTTATTGTAAAGAAAGTTGGAACAAATACTATAACCATCTGGTATGCGTTTGGATCTAACAATTCTCTGGTGCAAAAGTAGAAATCTGGGTGATGTGTGTTGTACTGTCGACGGTGGTATATTATATGAATTTGAAAAGTTTTTGATGTTATGATTCATATGTACTTTTTATTTTATGCGTTCTTATGTATTTTATTTGTGCCACAATCCTACTTTTTTGTTGTTGATTGATTACGTCCATTGAAATATACGAATCAATTATGGAATCATTTGTCGCTTTGTAAGATCTATTATTGTTATAAAAAATTTCTTATCTAATCCATTTTTATAAATGATGAAATACATCATATAAATATTACAGGTATTAATATAATTACTTATCATAATTATAGATTTAATATAATTCAATATTATAATTTAGTTTAATTCCTTACAATATCATAATATTATATAATTATATTATAATTATTTATCATATATTTAATTTATTACTCATACATTTGAGCAGCGGGGAAGTAGTAACCTCGGAATCCACAACGGACAATCTTCGAATCCACGAACAAGTTTGAATGCACGAATAAAATATTAGTATGATACTCAAGATATTTATTAAAATGATAATTTTTTTAAGAAAAGAATATTAGCACTAGAGAAAAACATAAATACATTATATTATTAGTACGTTCATTCAATATCTATATATTATTCTTTTAGTTATTTTGATATAACCATATACCACGTGCAACGCACGGTGCACTATACTAGTGTATATATATATATATATATATATATATATATATATATATATATATATATATATATATATATATATATATATATATTATATATATATATATATATATATATATAGCTTGGTGATGATGTAGAAAAATTAAGATTGCTTGGTGATGATTTTCAAAAAGAAAAATATTTGCATCTTGAATTTTTTTTAAAACATGACATGTTATCTGATATTGATGGTTTAGATTTATTTTCAGAACTGAAAGTTTTAAAAGAAATAAAAAATCCTGAATTAAAAACATCATTTGAGATACTAAACCTTATAAAAAAATTAAATTCTTTTCCCAATGCATGGATAGCTTATAGAATACTACTGACAACACCTGTTAGTATAGCTCCAGCAGAAAGAAGTTTTTTAAAATTAAAATTAATAAAATCTTATTTACGCTCAACAATGTCTCAAGAAAGATTAAATAATTTGGCAATTTTATCAATTAAAAAGTATTTATTATCAAAGCTTGAATATAAAATTTTAATTAGTAACTTTGCATCTTAAAAAGCATGAAAATTAAATTTTATATAAAATCTATTTTTTTAAAACTAATACTTAATTTTTTTCTCTAAATATTAAGGCCCTTAATATTTTTCTCTGCCTAGAGCCTCAAAAATGCTTGAGACGGCCCTGGATTCAGGTGTGATTAGGGATGACAAGAAGTCGGGTTTGGATCAGTACCCATTGTATGTTTGTATCCATATCTAGATATGATACGCTTTGTGGTTGTCCATACGTGATCCCAACCCGTATGTACCCAAACCACTTTGTAATGATTTGGATTAGATCTTGAATATTTTATTGGATATAGTAATACTTTTACCAGTTAGAGCAGGGCAAAGGACAAAAATGAACCTCATATTTATACAAGGAATTATAAGGTTATGACTGAGGGAGCATTGTCTTATTAGAGAAATTAACGGAGGCAATCAAAGAAAGATGACATTTATAAAGCTAAGTTTGCATTTAATAAACTAGCGTAGGAAAATAAAAGATCCTGAACATATACATTATGAAGGGAGTAAATGATACCAAAACAACAAATGTACCAATATCCCCAATTTCATAACAAGATACCAAATAATATTAAAGTGCTTTAGTTATTAAAAACTTGGTTCATGATTTTTCGTTCTCCTATAGAGTAATATCTTGGAATATTAGAAGATGAGTGTCTCTTTAGAATTTTGGGCTGGATTATTTCCTTATCGGTTTACTATATAAGCATATCTACATCCAAAGCCAATAGCTGGAGAGGATTTAAAAACCAAACTGTACCTGCTAGCTTTTGTGGAGGTGAGATCACTATGTAAACTTGACCAGAATTATCAAGATTTTTAGTATTGGTGACTTAAAAATAAAGTGATATAATTAGTACACAAACTTGCAATCTTGATGAAAATTAGACTATAAGTGTCAACCAGAATTTGTATAACCTGTAGTTGATGCAGCAAAAACTTCTGTATTGACATGGTAGTTGAATTATTGATCTAATTGACCCAACTAGCACAAAAGTTAAAAATTTTGAAAAATAAAAATTTAAAATTTTTCCTTACTATATATCAGGTTGCTTATTGAGTTCCACCAATATCGGAGGATTAAGCTTTATTTGTAGAAAGATTGCTTTTGCTGATGAGAGCATGAGAGGCTAGGGTCCTAGGGATTGAAAGTTGCTCTGTCTATGAGTGAGACTTGAGAGTATTGATTGGGAGAATTCCTAATTACAAGGAAGTTCTCTTGCTTACATCGTTATAAGAAGTTTTTGGCGGCCGGCTGAAGATGGCAAGTGGCCTAAAGCGCTGTTCAATGGAACACGTGTATGTACAAGGCAACACTAAGTTTTGTCCATATTTCAGATTGGCAAATGATCAGCCACCTTGCACTTACATATGTGGCCACTTGCCATCTTTCGATCTGGTGAGGCATGGTCAGTTTAATACATATACCTCAGTTTCTTTTATTTCTACATTCCTCTTAAGTTGAAGCAAGTATTTATAAGTTCCCTTGTACTTGAATTCTTAGCAAAAACTTGCCGCATTGTTTCTAAATTTGGGAGGTAAGGCAATAGCTGATTTTTTTAGGGGAACTAGCTGGAAATTTTAGTTACCAATTTGACTTGAAAGATATTTTTTTTTTTTGTTGATAATTTATCAGAAACGATTGCCTTTAACAGTGCTCAACTAGAATGGTTTCAATTTACCTGATCCAATCCTTTGTTTGGCATCGAATACAAGAATAATGATTATTGGCACCTTTGTTGTGTTTTTATGTTTTCAATCATGCAGCCTGGAGTGAATTTCTGGAGTGTTACAAAGAAGTGGCAACGACATTGATCAGACTGAGGAGTGTTCTTTGTAGATGAAGCAAGGTAGTTTCTTCTTACTTATTGACGCATTTTCTCTAGTTTCTTTGCTCATAAGTCGATATTGGTCTGTTGAACTAGAACCAGGGAGCTGAGAGGATCTGACACCAATGCCCTGACCATCATATGTACTATGTATATCCACATTGAACCTTGTACTTTGGTTTAATGATCAGTATAACTGTTTATGTGTCCTGAATTAAACTTGGCCCAGACTTGCTCTATATAGCAAGTTTGTAATGTCCTTTTGTTAAATTGTTTTTTAAAAAATATTCTGTAAGTTTATGGAAGAAAGAGCTCACTAATATTAAGAAATCTTCGAATTTCATGCTTGATTTCAAATTTCCATGAAACTGAAAATGTTACTGATTGTTCATGTGAATGCAGCTCGAGTTCCATGTATCCCTCTCATGGAGAATTTTGTGATATAAAACGTCTTGTCATCATCAATAGTAGTTATGTTCAAATTGTTAATTTTAAAATTCAGGTGCATTTTTCACTTTTCTAAAGATTGATGAGCTTCTTAGGGTTCTGATATTTGGTCGGAATTTTGAATGACATAAATTCAGTTAGAAGGCCAGAAGTTTCTTTAACTGGGTTACAAATGGGGATGAGCCTTATTTATAGCCCAAAACTCTGATAAATATATCGAACATGAACACTATATTCACCATTGTGTTTTGGCATTTTTTTGGGTTAATTGCAAATAGACCCCTTATAGTTCTATTTGTGCAAATAGAGCCCCGAGTGACCTTTTTTTTAACTCTTAAAATTGTCAAAAAGGTTTTCAGGAGGTAGATAGACCCCCTATAGTTCTATTGGTAAGGATAGATGTACTATTGCTTTTTTTTTTGACTCAGAAAAAGGGTCGAAAAGTTCACCCACGCCCAATAGTACATGAGGATTATTCACACAAATAGAACTACAAGGGGGTCTATTCACGATTAGCCATTTTTCTAATTGGGTATTAATCATCTCAAGCTTAGATTTTTTTGCTGGATTTTGAAGTATTCTATGATTTTATAATGACTGATGAATTCTAATGTTGAGTACAGGGGAATGGTGTGATTGTAAAGACTGTGCTGGGAGGTATATTCTCATAAAAGATGAAGAAGATCCACGATTGGCAATGTTTGACGAGCCTCTTCCATGTTTTGGATGTGGAATAGGATGGTGTTCGTGAGTATGCAACCTACTGTTTTTTTCCCTCTCTTCTTTCTACTCCTCTGATCACATCATTCACTTGCAGATTACTTCTTGGCTTTGTTTGTCCATTGATCTGGTATTGTGCTGCTATACTCTATCTGAGAAAATATTACAACAAGGATCCTAGAGAGCGAGGTGGCCTTGCTGCTGCTGCATGCGCTGTGAGTTTCTCCCATTGATTTTGCCCCTCTCTCTGTGTGCATGTGTGTGTATGGGGAAGACTTATTTATTCCTATGGTAGCTTAGTTATGCCCATTAGTTAAAATGTGTATTATGCAATGAAATTGGACGGTCAACTCCATTCTTGATCTACATCTTAAGATGTCTATTAATAAAAAATCATGTGTGTTAAGGGTATATTACACATGCATCAAGTGGTAAAAAATTTAACGGTTTCCAGACAATTGGATAAAAGAGAGCTCTTGATGCATGCGTTAGACTATTACCATGGATGATCCATTCCATTCATCATGATTTAAATGTCTTAAAACATCTACAAATCAAAAATCATAATGTTTTAGTACTTCTAACACATATTTTTCACTATCTTTTTAGGTTATATTGTTATAAAACTGTTAACTTTGCAATCACTTGATGCATGAGTAACTATAATTCAGTACGTTTAATTGTTTTATTTGTATACCATCTAAAACATATAGATTGAAATGAATGGAATGGATCAAGCAAATTTATTACATATAGTGTAATTTTGAAAGTGGGCATAACAAATCTAGTTATGCCCTAGAAAGAAATATATCTTGACACACACAGACAGAGAAATGAATGACCTTGGTACTAAGGACAAACTTGGCCCTTAATAGTGATGTGGCTCATTCTAATCCATTCATTTAAATGTACCCCATTTTAAAATGGTCTCGTTGAAAATGAGTAGATGAGATGAGTCATGTTACTACCATTGACTAAAATTGGTCCTTGTTACCAAGGATACCCATATTGCTAA